TTATTTATGATTTATTAGGGTATTCATAGCATTTCCATGTGTTTCTAAGCGTATCTTAATTTTTCGTCTGTATCCATGCATATCTAAGGTGTATCCTGATACGTCTCTTAAATTTGCTTTTCCGATATGCATAGCATTTATAATACTTTGAACCTTGGTTAGAAGATGATTTTTTTATAATTTTACCTAAAACCAATTCAAAATTTATAATAAACAATAGAAATTAATAAAATATATTTTAAAAAATTAATAAAATTAGCATTAAGATACAAAAAAAAATAGTACAAATTTACCTAGAGAATAAGAAATTGGCCACTCTCACTAAAGCACAACATTGTGATTGAATAAACTAAACATAACCCCAAAAAATAATACTTGAATTGAACTTAGATGGACACCATTTAATTGGAAATGTCATAGAGCTCCATCTTCAATTTTTCGAATAAATACAATGCACGGGTACTGACTAGTATTTGGCATATAATAAAAAAGGCTTGAAGGTTGAATACCCTAAATCTGTACAACTTTTGTTCCAGTCATGAGTCGCAGGTGTAGTCTTGTACTATTGTTTGTGCATCACAAAATACCGTACAATAAACACATTTAAGCCAAAAAGCCTAATCACCGTCTTCTTGTGAACCCTCATATCATAAACTGATGAGGGCGGATTTGGCCCTCCAATGACATCATGACACATGGCATCTTGGAACAGCTAGTTGACATATAGACACCACCTAAGCAATGACTTGGAGTCCCAGATCATGGTTTCTCTTTGCCGAGACCTGGTGACCTGTCTTCACCGCCAACCTGGCGACCTCAACCACAACTTAGGTCGGCTAAAAGCACCTTGTCCAGGGCCGACCTACAGCACCTCACCACTGGCCGAAGTGACCTCGATGCAAGGAGCGACCTCCCTCAAGGGCGTGCCAGCCTGACTGAGGTCTAGGTGGCAACCTGTGAGACGTGCTCACCGACAAATTCGGCATGCATATCCCGACACTCCTACGATTCTTGGAAGTTGGCCCACGTACTGAACATTCCGGAGGGTGGTCAATGTGTATGATGTTTACCTCCAAGGATTTCAGACCGGTTAGGCACGATCTCTCGGAAATCTCGGATGCGGTGCGTGAGGCCCACACTGAACAATGCCTATATAAAGGCACCAACCCCAAAGACCCAGAGGAGAAAAAAGAGAGGTACATGTGATTATTCTACTCACTAGCACTCAAGCTCCCAAGCATTCAGCTCGCATTCATAGCATAAGTACTGACTTAAGAATTGGAGCGACCTTGTCGGGTTAGCTACCCCGGGTTCTCTGATCCACTATTTTGCAGATCGGTCCAGCTCGCCGCCCAATTGGAGTTCAGATCGCCTTCCAGCTAGGAGAAGCCATATCGTGCACCATCAATTGGCGCCATCTGTGGGAAACGCTACAAGAAGCTAAGTTCTCACCTTCTAAAAGGCCAAGTCCTCTTCTTCCAAAAAGCTAAGATCTCACCTTTTAGAAACTAAAGTTCCCACTTTCAAATTTCCATTTTTTATGAACTCAAAGGCACTTTTGAGCAACATCAACACCCAAAACGAATACCGATTACTGGGAGACAAAAACACCTATGATGAACCTAGAGAACTCCCTTGTGACAAGCAGACAAGTTCAGGCCAAACTCAGCATCCCTAGTGCCCTAGATAAATACACCGCTACTATATGTGAACACCCATCTCCCCGCGGTAGAGCCATCAGTGGTTCCCGCTGGGATTGAAGCGTAGTAGTTCTATGAGATGAAGTATGAATTTCCAGATCTGAGCATGGGAGAAGCCCAATGTAGACAACAACAGAACATCCTCAACAGCAGTTAGCCAGGACGAGGCCTCATCAGCCCTGTTTCACGAGGTCGCCTCTACAAGACGAGCTCTTCGTGGCTTCCGCGGGAGTTGGCGGCCAACGGACTGCATGGACGCCCTTGTAAGTCGAGCCTTCCAAGGCTCCCGTGCGAGCTGGTGACGTAAAGTCAGTAGTGCTGCCCCCGTAAGTCGAGCTCTCAGTGGCTTCTTGTAGGAGTGGATGACCGGCGTCACTAACAAAGCTGATGTAGTGTAGTCGTGGCCCTAAACTGCCGAATCACACTGACAACAACATTATGCCCTCGCAAGGGGGCAGAACATGTACGTTGTGGTCTCACAAGCACTCACCCAAGAAGATAATCCCACGGGATGACGTAGAAGTAGCCATATGAGAAGTTACTACAGAATGACCACCCGCTTAGGCGGGAAGGTCAAGTCGCACGTCGGCTAAATAAGGATAAGGAGAGTGGACCGCGAGTTGCTCATAGAGCCCAAGGGCTAAGGTGCCGAGTTGATAAAAGACATCGGCACTACATGAGACCCAGTTGCCTCTTTGGCATGGGCAAATAAAAAAGTAGCTTGTGTGCAGGTAGGATGGGCACATACCCTATAATGTCTATTCACTTCGACGTACATTGAGATCGGGTTATTCCTATTAGAGTCTAGCTCGTCAGCCTGACACTTCGTTAGTAATTGACACTTATCCACGTCAGCTCGGGCATATACCTAATCGCCTCTTCAGCATGGGCAAACTAAAAAAGTAGTTCAGGTTTAGCCTCATTGGTGTGCATACAGTTTGGCACCTCGGGGTAATGCACACTTAGAAAACTTTTATGCAACGGAGTGGAGGACAAAATACAACACCTATTCGGCATACCAGTTCGGCACCATGACAAACGCAAACTTGGTTGATCTCTTCACAGTAGACCTCTACCTTGGTTTTAGGCTCTGCGTCGAACTCACTGGCTACTCTTTTGAGAACCAGTTTGAGTGACACTGCGTCAAAGTCTACCTAGGTGGAGCGACCAAATAAAGCAATCACATAGTTACAACACCCCTTTGAGGACAGCATGGTAAGCTTCACTCTCAAGGTAATGGTCGAATTGCAGAACCCCTTAACGGTTACATTCCTAATAAGGTAGATGTCCTCGAGGTACCTGCTTCACCTCTCATCGAGAGGATGAGTTCGCTTTCATTCCCCGAGAATCAAGACAGTGAGGTCCTACGTAAGGCAGCAAACACTCAAACTATTCTGATCTGAGAAGTAAATCAGACCAACACTTGCGACAACAAATTGATCGAATCAGTCATCTTGGGCCAAAAGGAGCAATCTCCTCCCTTCGCCGAGCTACTCTCAACTCGGGAGTGGGGGGCAATTGATGAGGGCGGATTTGGCCCTCCAATGACATCATGACACATGGCATCTTGGAACAGCTAGTTGACACATAGACACCACCTAAGAAATGACTTGGAGTCCCAGATCATGGTTTCTCTTCGCCCAGACCTGGCGACCTGCCTTCACCGCCAACCTGGCGACCTCAACCACAACTTAGGTCAGCTAAAAGCACCTCGTCCAGGGCCGACTTGCAGCACATCGTCACTAGCTGAAGTGACCTCGATGCAAGGAGCAACCTCCCTCAAGGGAGTGCCGGCCTGACTGAGGTCCAAGTGGCAACCTGCGAGACGTGCTCGCCGACAAATTCGACGTGCATATTCCGACACTCCCATGATTCTTGGAAGTTGGCCCACGTACCGAACATTCCGGAGGGTGGTCAACGTGCATGATGTTTACCTCCAAGGATTTCAGACCGGTTAGGCACGATCTCCCAGAAATCTCGGATGCGGTGCGTGAGGCCCACACTGAACAATGCCTATATAAAGGCGCTAATCCCAAAGACCCATAGGAGAAAAAAGGAGAGGTACGCATGATTATTCTACTCACTAGCACTCAAACTCTCAAGCATTCAACTCGCATTCATAACATAAGTACTGACTTAAGAATCGAAACGACTTTGCTGGATTAACTACCCCAAATTCGCTAATCCACTATTTTGCAGATCGATCAAAATCACCACCCAATTAGAATTCGAATCGCCTTCCAAATAAGAGTAACCAGATCACACACCATCATAACCCATTCACAAAACTAACCTATTTAGCTTTTAAATTGGATAGTGGCCAACTTGCTTGTGTATTGATTGCACGTCCATAGGTTCCTCCTCAAAGGCTCGACCAGAAAGCTAAAGAGACATTAAAAAGGGGAATTCGGTTGTGTATAATGTTAGGAACTTAGGGTTTAATTGAACAAAAAGTTTGTAGTTGTACAATTGTACCTCATTTCAGGCTTTTCACGATTTTTTTCCATTAAATCAAATCGAAATTAATGACAGGCCAAAAATCTCGCCAGATGAGCTTTTCACGATTTTTTTCTTAGAAGTCGGTTGTAGCCTTATAGGTACCGAAAGATTTTGATTGATAGGACATTAGGAGTTTAGAACCATTTGTTATTGGCAAATGCTAGCATGTGGAAAAAGTGGATTGTGACACCTCCTCTTTAACCTCACGGGCTGCATTATTTCTTCAAAGTTGGATGGCAGGAGAAAAATGTTTAGAACCCCGTGGCTACAAAAGCAACCAAGGGTGGTGGTTTTTATATTTTAATTTTTCTGTGGCTCGGTTTGGCTTCATGGTAAAAGGGATAAATAGCCCCAATACAACTTTGGGCTGCCAAGCATGATAACATGAGTTCAAGTCTGAGAGAAGCCAATTTGTGTAAAAAGGTGCTGGAGATTAGGAACCTATCCAGTTCCAGTCTATACCTCCCAAGATTCTAGGTAGGCAGTCTGGACCATGTGTAATGGCCTTTCTTTGCATGTTCACAATTATAGAAACAATATGAAATTCATATAACCTTCCTATAAATATTGGAGTTTTCCAACTTACACTTTCTCCAATTCAGACGAAGGATTCCTCTCTCTTTTCCCTTTCATTTTAATCGAATAAATTTAGAAATGCTCCATTCTTTTGGGAAATAGGTATTCTACTTGGCTAGTTTCTTTTTGCAGCGTTTGCCAATGGGCTTCGGCTTGTCCAAGCTTAGCTTTAAGCCTACAGGTTAGAAGGGTTCAAATAGCCAGCCTACAAGTACCATAGTCTCATTCAGAACTGTGTGTACATACGTAATACTAAATACATACTTTTCAAAAAAGTTGAATAAGATATGGTTTTAATATAAAACGATATACATTGATCCATTTGTATTCAAAATCTTGACAATGTTTTGGAGGAAAAGCAACAAATACAGAGCTTACCACCTTACAGAGACAGTTCAGTTTGACCCCCCCCTGCAAAAGCTATGACATGCACGATCAATTTCTTCCAAGGTCATGACTTAAGCATACGCTTACCTTGTCTCCAATGTTGCACACACCTCCATGCTTTTCCAATCAGTCATCATTTTCAAAATTTTCATCATCCTTCATGTACTTCTCTTGCACTGCTGCTGTTGTGGAATCTGTTTTGTCAAGCAAAACTTCCAAAATCTTGTCCTAGTTTATCGATCAGATTCAACAAATAAAAAAAAAAAAAAATGAAGCATGCTAAACTGAGTACTAAAAAATGACCAATTTGCATTGAATGGATATCTATAGTAGTCCCAATCAATGGGACCAGCTGCAATTTTGCTGTACTCAACTGCACTGCCTTCTATGCTAGCAAATATGTACCCGTTGCTCTTGTCTATCAACTTAACAAGATTCCCTACACTCTCTTTATCCTAGGAAAAAGCATAGGTTCAGGCTACACACTGAAACAAGAACCATGTAATCTCAGGTAAGTAAATGGAGAGAAACCAACATACCTGAATGTCTAAGGTTGTAAAATTGACCAAATTATAGTCTTCTATCACCTCACAGAGTTCCTTTGTGAGCTTCCTACAATAAGAAAAACAGATCAGATAACAAAATTAATAGCCAAGCTTCTCTTTAACCCCTGCAGAACAATTTCGGAGAATAACAAGCAATATGGTCCCTATGGAGGAGGTTTAAATTTATAACAGCTTATGATCATAATATGGTCTGTTGTCCTTGTTAGTACTTTCATTACTCCAAACTCCAAAGGACAACATTACAATATGCTAAAAAAACTAGGTTTCTTGAGGTCACATGTTATTTTTCCTTTTCTTTTTCTAAACATAAAAGTTAGAAATTTTACATACTTTTAGAATTTTCTTTATTACGAGGAAATGATACTATTCACCAAGTTGTTACAAATTGTATCTACATGCAAGAGAAGCTATTTTAAGCACAGATTGGATTCTGGTATGAGTGTAAAACTCCTCAGATAACATTTACCTTCTAAAGGGAAAATTCCCAATTAGTACCCTGTACTTTGGGCCTAGTGTCACTTTGGTCCCTAAACTTTAAAACGCGACAATTCAGTGCCCAAACTTTCAAAATGTGCCAATTTAGTACCTGCCATTAACCAGCCATTAAGTGGCATTTGAAAAGACACAAATGCCCTTCGAGTGTCATCTAATTTTTCTTTAGGCTCAGTTTGGAAGAAGTACAAATACAAAATTGTAGAGTGCAAAACCTTACATTCTATTATTGTGTATGTATTCATACTGTACATATTTGCATTTGCACTCCTTCCAAACTGAGTCTTATCAACTATCCAAACGTTGACAAAAAATGAATAGTCCCAAATCCTTGCCTCTTCTATTCAAGAAAGCTGCAATCACCAGAATACCCATTGAGATGTGACCCCAACTTTCTTGAATAGAAGAGAAAAGGATTTGGGACTGTTCATTTTTTTGTCAATGTTTGGATGGTTAATAAAGAAAATTAGATGACACTTGAAGGGCATTTGTGTCTTTTCAAATGCCAGGTACTAAATTGGCACGTTTTGAAAGTTCGGGTACTGAATTGTCGCATTTTAAAGTTCGGGGACCAAAGTGGCACTAAGCCCGAAGTACGGGGTACTAATCGGGAATTTTCCCTAGTTTAAATGCAGGGGTGGCAATACATGTTTCATAAGCAGTAAAGCCTCAAGGATTACTACTAATGGAAATGGGTGCATTTCCAATGATGAGATCACTTATATTCTTATAGATAAATTCTCTATTCTCTGTTATTAACTGGGAATGTTAATAATGAAAATAACAAACCAAGAAACCATGGTGAATGTTTTGAGATATCGAGAGGTTGTGGTACAGGCTGATGTGAGACAGGAAGAAAACCTGAACATTTGGAGGCTTGTCTCATTGGTAGGTTTATGGTGGGCTCTGAGCTGGAGGAGACAGTTGAAGCCTGTCTTAATAAAACACATTCAGTGCATGTTACAAAAGTGTTTTCTCATCTGAAAGATAGTCTTGTAGGGGCAGGCCCGACTAACAAATTTAAAAAAGTGTACAATAGAAAAAGGATTAAACCCCAAAGGTCTAAGGCTTGAGGCTACGTCTGGGAAAGGTGGTGCAGAATCCTAAAAGAAGTCTTGATTTACCATTGAATATTCATGAGGGGGAGGGGGACTTGAATCAAAGTGGAGGCTTGGAGGAAAAGAAGAAAGAGGATAAGAAGGAGGGAGTGGTGGGATCAAAAGGGGAGGAGGTGCAATAAGGAAGAGTAGATTTAGGTGTGCTTGTTGATAGGGAGGTGAAGGTTGGCAACTCTTTGGGTCTTTTCTTCTTGGGAGGTGAGAATTTTGCAAGAAGAGCTTTTGAGGAGCACGATATGAGGAGAGAAGAGAGTCTTAAGAAGACCAGAGTTGGGTAAGGAGGAGAAACTTGGAATGAGGAAGGGGGAGGGTACTATCTTAGCAATGTGGTGTCACATTTGCAGAATTTGTTAGTCCTGAAAACCTTGTATTGGTGTAATGTATGTCATGGCAATGCTTTCTGTAAAGATACAAGTTTTTTTATTGATAACGGTGAAAAACTTTTTATTAAAAAAAATACAAGTTAAACACTATATGGGGAAGAGAAAAATAATAATGGCAATTAAAGCACACTACTGGCAAATGATATATTAATAATGAAAGAGTAAGTGCATGAGATTGAATGGTAAAAACATATTTGCCTTTCCAACAATGAATATGAAGCTAGCCCCATTCAACTCCCTCAGTTAAATACAGTCCAGTAGACAGACAGAAATACCAACTTTAGCCCAAAATGTATGATCTCCATATTAGTTTTTTTTTGATAAATGATCTCCATATTAGTTTCCACCTAGTGATTCCTGTCTTTACTAGGTAGTCAGAAACACCCTCTGTGTCCTGCTATTTTTGGGCGGGCTAGACATTGGGAGGGAGGGGGAGAGCAAACCTTAAAACTGTTTCTTATATTCTTAAACACAACATAAATGTAATACTGACAGGTTGGTGCTAAGTTGCTTGACAGTTCAATCCAAGCAAAAACCAACCTTAATCAAAGACTGAGACTTTTCAGACCAAGCCCAACCAGATGTGTTAAACACTAAGCTTGACCTGATCTAGAAGTTAGGTTGGGTGATCAGCCAAGTTCTGTTGAGTCCAGCCAAATGTACAAATCCTAAAAACAGTTAAATATTCATTTAGATTTAGGATAATCAATGTACAAAAACATGTAACAGGGCGCCATACATAAATTTAGAATCTCTAAGCAATAGATTATCTTAAACAGGGAAGAAAAGAACATTTGAAAGATACTGATATGACAGTAAACTATAATTCCATTGCACAACCATTGCAGTAAGCTAATAGATCTAGCAATAGATTATCTTAAACAGGGAAGAAAAGAACATTTGAAAGATACTGATATGACAGTAAACTATAATTCCTTGCACAATCATTGCAGTAAGCTAATAGATCTAATTTGCATAAGTTGCATAAAAATTGACCAAATATCTAACCTGTATTTGGCAGATCGAGGATCTTGATCAAGGTGATATTGTAAATATGATAAATCTTGGACATCGGTGTAATATTCAAGGTTAAAAGCTGCAATATATATCAGCATGATGGTTAATGCACCAAGTTGAATGGCTTGCTGGCTCATAAATGATAACATAGAAAGCTTTCTCCACACCTAGCTTTCCGTAGCTCTCAATGAGATCAATCTTAGATAGGACATTGATGTGTGGAAGTTCCAGATGGAGCATGGTTGACAGAGAGAGAAGCAATGCACTCACATATTTCCCAGGATCACTGCACAGATGGGCATCAACTAAGTGCACTGCAGTCAACTGCATAAGATGGGGGGGAAATCTATTGAGATTCTAATAGAATCTATTCAAGATGTCAAAATGAAGTCACATGAAAAGTTTACCAAGTATTAGACATTAAAACCTCATTTCAGTAAATAAAGTCATACCCTAAGGTTCAACTTCTTTATGAGTTTGGTAATAACGCTCTTGGCATTTGAATGAAGGAAAAATAGTTCCACTTGGCCAGGAAAATCAAATAGAAGATAATGATCTGCAAGGGTACTTCAGTTTGTTAGGTAACATGTAACTTATAATACTATGACAAGCATACATGATAAAGTCATAAAATTTTCTTTTGATGAATAGATAAGATAATATAGAATAAGAAAAATACCATAGAAGTACAATAATGTATGATATGTATCCAGGTTAATATTGAAAGTATTTCTAACTTGAGAATAAATCTGGAAAAGAGCTGCATAGCGGGTATAAATTTGGAGAAAGGGGAGGTCGAGGCTATTGTGGAGTGTCTTGAGTGCTCCACTTCTGTTTGGCCTATGTCATATTTAGGGCTTCCTTTAGGGGCAAATCCTAGGGAGAGTAGATTTTGGACCCCAGTRATAGAAAAGTTTGAGAAGAGATTAGCCTCATGGAAGAGGAATTATATCTCTTTAGGAGGGAGAATTACCCTAATAAGAGCTACCTTGGCTAACTTACCTA